CTAATACCTATAATTGAAAATCGAATAGCCTTAGACTCCTCGAAAGCCATTTTTAGAAAGTTATCAAGACAAATTAAAACTTCTCAAACAAATTTAAGCAACGGACAACTTTTTTTTATTTTGCTTTTCTTAGTGAATTTCTCCCAAAACGATGCCAAGTATCTTATTTGATGAAAAATAACAGCTTGTCACAAATGTGCATTATAATAGAAACAGTATATTAAAATTAAAATAAATACCACAAGATTGAAATCATTTTTATTTAAAGTTGGCTGTGACTAATGCATTGCAGTCCCCTCTATTAATTTAAAATGACATTCTCATCTTCAAAAGTTTTTGTTGGATATTGGTACTTCATTGAAGTCAATTTTTTTATGTTCTTTACTAGCTCTCTCTTTTATTAAAAAAGTAGTAAATCAAAATTTGAACTTCCAAAAAATAAAACAAAGCACAGTAAAAATTAAATCTAACATGGTTCTGTTCACCATGTAAGGAAAAAATGATCTAAATTTATGTAGACAGAACTTAGAAGTGTCTGACAGACAATGGATTAAACAAGATCAAATTTTAAGACAAGTTATAAAATTCAATTTTGCAAATTTTGTAATTTTTTACGTTGTACATAGTAGGGTGCATCCGACGAATGGCTACTTTCATGATTTCTCGACGTTTCATGGGCCCTAGAGAACGAAAAAGTAGGTCTTATATTTCCGTCCATCTGTGTCAATTTTTATTAGACAATCTTCGAAACTACTGGACCAATTTTCGTCAAATTTTATACGTATGTTTGGAATATCGTGTAGATGGCAAAACGCCGACCAAAATTTGTTTAATCACCCATATCAACAATAGGATGACGTCACCTTCAAAATTTACAATAGTGAATGCTATTTAAATTTCATAGAATAAGATACCCCGCACTTGTGGTTTATGAATCTGTGTTAAGTGTTTAAAAAATCAAGTTTATCTAACAAAATTTTGCAATTTAACTTTGGAACAGTTACATTGAATGCTATGAAAACTTGTAAACCTTGTAGTCATCGTAACTACTGGAAATCGTTAATCAAACTTTATCCGTCTATCCCCTCCCAAAAAATTGATGACATCTTAAAATTTTGACGAATGAATCCCATCTAGAATATGTAAAGTATTATAAATTTATACTTGTAATTCAAAAAGATTAATGAATGAGACAATCTCTTTTATTGATTAAATCAAGAACCACTCACTCAAAACTTGGCAATACAGTATTGTTATTGGTTTTACATTGGATCTATTCAAATTGATATATGTATCCTTGGAAAAATATCGATGACGTCATCAAAAATTTGTAATGAAAAAACCCACTTAAAACACATGTGTAGCACGTTTCTTTACCTTCACTTTAACATTACATCCGTATCTGTATTTTAACTTCCTTGGTTATCATAAAAAAATAAATTCGTAAAAATCAAATTTTTAATTTTTCGAAAAAGCTGAATATGTTGTACCTACTATACTTCAAAACGAGGGAAGTTCTATGAAATAATCGTTGACCATTTTTAATGTGTAAAAATACAATATGGGTGGATTATTAAACTACAAATAACGAAGACATGTATCAATTTTGATTCATATACCCAAAATTTGGGGTACATATTTTTTTCATATCCTATGTAAGCAATTATAAAAACATTATTAAATAAATGAGAATGACGTACTAAAAATTCCAGGAGAGATTTACTTATCAATTTTTAAATGACGTCATGGAATTTTTGGAAGAGATGAATAGGTGAATTCCAGTTGCCAGATTATCATGATTGTGATAACTTTAAAGCGTGTGCAAAACATAGTCAACGATTTCGTAGTTTTTAAGACAAATTCTAAAATTTTGTGGTATTATTTTGCACATATTGAATAGGATTTAACAAAACGTCTAAAATTTCATAACAATCAGTCCAGTAGTTTCGAAAATTATTTGTCTACTAAAACCACTGACAAACGGAAACAGAAGTACTACTTTTTTAGATTCTAGGAGCTGTGGAGAAAGGAAAAACATCATTCGTCAATAACTCTATTACAAAAAAGCTATTTTTTGTATATAGGTACGTAGATTAGATGTTTTTTTGATTGTGGATATTTCGTTGACTAAATTTGGGAAATTTTTGTTTAAAAAACCGCTTCTATGGGTGAAAAACTTTTGAGCTTCTGAGATTTTAGTTTTATATAATATAGAAATATAACCTGCAAAAAGCAATGGTCAAAATGGCGTTACATATTTCTTTTACACTGGACCGTAAAATTTACTCTAAATGTGAGCGATAGAATTGAAAAAAAGAACGTAATATTTAGTGTTGCAAGAGTTAAAAAAGGGCACTAAACATGTTTCTGAAAGGAGACAAAAAGACTCCGTTGCAGGGAGTAATGTGTGTGTGCGTCGAAAATATTTACTTACAAAGAAAATTTTGAGTATATTAAAATTTCAATATTTAAGTTACAAAAATCAAAATGTATTGTGGTGTTTTGTCCCTTGAATTAAATCTGAGACCAACGTGTTGTACATACCGTGCGATCGAAAATAATCCGAATTAGAGTTGGCTCTGAGACCAAATATTATAGCACACGATTTTCCCATCTGATGGGTCTGTCACGGCCTATCCGAATTGGACTGCATTTTTAATCCGCAACCGAACTGCGGTTAAAAATTTTGTTAACTACGTGATACCTTATAAGTCCTAAACTCGTAACCGAACTGCGGTAAACTTCTTAGTTAGGGGTTAAGCTGTCTCGCTTTAATCAGGTACCTAAATGATGGACACAGTTATTTAATACTCAAAATTATGAGTCAAAAACTTTATGAAAATTCAGTAAGTACATTTATTTAAACTTTTCGATCGTGTTATGTATGAAAAACGAACCGCTGATCACATACATACATATTAATAAATTGTAACGATGGAAGATGTTATTATTACTGATACAGTTCCGAAAGGTATAATTTCTGAAATCGTTTAATAAAGCAAATTTGTAGTTAACACAAATCACAAAATTATATCCGAAAATTTCATTACTTTTATATTGAACAATTTTTTGATTCAATGAACGTCTGTCTACAAACCAGATCTTTTTCAGTATACCGTTTTTCGTTTTTATGTAAAAAAATCACTTTATTCTTTAAGTCTAAAAAATATTTGATTTTCCTCAAAATTTATATTTAAGGCACTAAATGATGGTTCTACTCTTCTTTGAAATTATTCAATTGCCTTAAGAACAATCCAGAACCCCTACAGTTCGATAACGAACCGCAATTTGGTCAGAAGTATCCATGTACAGTGACGGAAATTTAAAGTCGGGCACCAACCTGACATTTTCATCAATTTTGGTAAACGCGGTTTTAATTACCCATTTTACCTTCTATCATCTCCACGCTGATTTTGTATTCAATCAAATTACAAATTTGACGTTAAGAAATTTGACACTTTTAAGTTCTGGTTTCCTAGGATTCTGAAGCAATAATAAAGTCATATTTTCAGTCGTCAAAAAGTTCCGCCCGACTTTAAATTTCCCCCACTGTACCTGATATTTAAGCAAAATTTGTACCGCATTTCGGATACGACCATCTGTTACCCGTCACAAACCACTAACCCTATATAGGTGGTTTGTTACCTGTCAATATCAAACATTTAACATGGTGGGTAGAGATCAATGTATTCGTATAGTGGTCCAACTCTGACTTCGTTTTTATGGCACTGCAATCTCAATTACCGCAAGTATTAGAAACTCTATTGAAAATGTAAATAACCGTGCCATAAATCATCTTAAAGGTTTACGGCCCCATACGGCCCTGTGTACTCTAGACAGTTGGTCCCTTGATGGTTTATAACCGCTGGATTACTTGCGGCAGAGGCCTATTGTGGAACACTTAACTCCTTCACAATAGGATGCAGTCATAAAAACGAACCAGCAGTTGCAGCACTATACCATGTCAACACTTTGCGAGAAAAAATGATTCATTAAAGCAGTAGTACCACCCAAAGCCTTAGGCAGATAACAACGCCAACTATCATTCATTTTATTTTCAAAAGCGTGAAATTCTTGTTAAAAGATCATTAATATGGACCTAACGTTGAAATGGTGCAGCAATGAACAGCATTCCTTTGAGGAAATGGGCAAAATGTGTTGGTTTTCGTAATATTTAATGAACTTCCTGACGCGTTTGTGTCGATGTATGAACTGTCATTGGAAATTTTAGTCATGTTATACACGTAATCAAAGAAGTATTTAGGAAGTAAAAACAACAGTTTAATGTCGGTGCCAAGTCTTTGTGTGAACTGTTGTCAAAGTGGCAGCTAAATCACAGTGAACGTAGTATCATTTTAACAGTAGGTCACACAGTTTTGGCACCGACGCCATAAATACCCTAGTCACAACTTAACTCATGCAAACACAACATTTATGGAACGTTAGTAATCGTTCAAAGGGAAGGCACCGAATGCAGCAACTGTTAAATGTTGCCAAATGATTAAGGCAAAAAGAACGGGAATGGTTTGTTCAAATAGTAATCAACTAATCACTAATCGACAAACAAAAGATGAAAAATTCGTTTTTAAAAAATCTTTTTTATTTGTAATTAATAGATGCTACTTGGTCCCTGCGTGTACTCCGCCACTGTCCTACATGTATTGGCCACCTTATATTCCTTATACAAGGGGATTTTCTGATCCATGGAAAATCCGCAAAATCTTTGATGATGTAACATAACCTTATCACCTAAAAATAATACGTCACTTACCGCTTATGAAAAGCTTCCGGTAATAATCGAACGCTTTGTTTGTCAAAATAATCGTCTTTCTTTGGTAGAAATTAACCTCAAATTTACGCAAATCCGGTAACAAATCACTACACAACAATAAAACCCGTGCTGTCATCTACACCCAAAACGCCACAAAAACAAACGAATTTCATCGCTTCCTAGATTTCGCAAACGTGTGTACACCCGTGCCATCTATCGCCCGTCTCTCAAACCTTATCATTGTTTCCCAGATGCCCAGATAAGTCAAATCAAATGTCATTTCAAACAATAAAAAAACAACGACAGGGTTGTTCCGTTTCATAAAGTGGAAATATGTGAACAAAACAGTGAAAACCTCTCACAATTACCAAAAATCAAAATTAATATGTTCTACATTCTCGCAGCATTGATTTTACTAACTGTCAACCCCAGGTATGTACAAATCGCTCGTTTCCTCAACGATGACTAATTAGTGCGTAGCATTTCCGAAAACCCACCTGAAAAAAAGCCCAAACCATCGCCAACTCCTTTCCAAGACTGGGACTACATTGTGTACAGCCAGCGATGGCCCATCACCGGCTGTTCTCAATGGGAAGAACGAAGCTCTCAAAACACCTGCAGTCTCCCCCATGACAATACCACGTGGACTGTGCATGGACTTTGGCCCACGAAAATCGGCGCTAACGGGCCATTTTTCTGCAACTCGGCTATACATTTTGACCCCGACCAACTAGCACCGATGATGAAAGAATTGCAAGAATACTGGACGAACGTGGAAGCTAACACCAAGCCAAACTCTCTATGGAAACACGAATGGAACAAGCACGGGACGTGCGCCGCCAGCTTGCCGCAACTGAACAGCGTAACCAATTATTTTAAACAGGGTTTGGAGTGGAACCAGGATTTTCGGTTGTCAAGTATGCTGTCCAAGAGTAATATCGTTCCTAACACACAAGGGTATAACATCAGCGATGTATACAACGCTGTGAAGGTCGCAACGGGAAAGAATCCGGAGATCGAGTGTGTGGTTGACGGTAAGAGCAAGCAGTCTCTTATTAGCGAAATTCGGTTGTGTTTCAACAAAAGTCTAGATTTGATCGATTGTAATGTTTCTAAATTCGGGGGTCAGGATGGGGATATTTTGAGCAACTGCAACGGTAATAAGAACGTGATGTATTTCGCAACGGTTCCTAATAACACGTACACCGAGGAGGTCATACGAGATGTATACTTTGATGATGTCGATGAACCAAATTTGGAAATTTGTATAGAGTACTTCAACTTTCAAGGGAGGCTACTCAAGTTATATAGTATAATTAAATTTCTAATGTGGTTTACATTGTAGATATTTTATAGGAAATATTCAGTCCATTTGAGAAGTGTCTCATGTGTTTACCCCAACTTTTTTTTTTTCATTTAATACGTAATAGTAAAATTGGGTTCACGGGTCGCCACAGGAAAACAGTGTCGTGACTTAATTCACACGTTTGAACTTGATACGCTTGTCACTTGTCATAACGAAAGCCAAAAAAATCAGGTTATGTCATTGTGCAGGGTGCAGGCACTTTCGTGAATTGATTCATTACCTTGTTAATTTTTTCGTGGCAAAAAGCAATATTTATTTTAGTAAATTTTTCCAGTCTAAATTTCTGAAATCAGTTGATAGCACCGTAAGCACATAAGTCACTCCAGACTAATTCTAATTTTGCTATTCTACCCTAGTATAAAAAACAAAAAATATTTTCCCTATACCATTAATCTTATTTTACCTGAGGTTTTGTGGTTCCCACTAGGAGGGTCCCCGTTTTTGTTAAACACACCACTTCAATTAATTGAGATAAAACACATATCCCTATAACATCCGTTAACAATCGATACAGGGTTTTAGAAAACGATAAGCACCATAGACGACTCATATACGAAAAACCGGACAAATGAATAACGTGTACCGCAATATGTGTTAATTGTCTGATTGTCGAAATTTTCGTTAAACAATACTATGCATGGAACCCCTTAATGTGTAACGCATTATGTGCGATTTTCGTAAGATATGTCTTACTGAAATTGTCTAATGTGTTTATAATACAGTCGTTTGCATTTTCACTTGACGATATTTTCAAAAATTTTAACACGTAGAGTCAGGTTGAAATAGCAGACACTGTTTCCTACTAGTTCGTTTGTTAAGCAGAATCTTTATGTAATAGTAACTTGTGTAATTGGTGTAACACAGTGTAATAGAAAATGTGTTTGGATTGATGAATAGGATTTTTAAATACCAGCTGGAGATTTCAGACAGGCAGAACACATTGTCACTTTACGTATGTTTTTCGTTAAAAGTGTAAAATTGGAGACGTAACGCATTCACATTACCTCAGTTATTCTTTAGGTAGATTTTGTAAAAAGTGATAGCGGCACATAATTTTTTTGTAGAGGAACCAAGGTATTTAGAACTACTTAAGTTAGTCATGGGATTTAGAAAAGTCTACAGTCTGGTTTGCTTGTATATTTTGAAGGAACATTGTAAATTTATTTATTTTTTTATTTTATACATTCCTGTGACTACCAGTGCAGTATTTTTTACTTTGTTTTGATTTCATGACACAGATAAGTTACAGTACTTACGGACATGTTTGAGTACTGAAGAGAATGATTATATTATATTTGCTCAAGACAAGACGCTTCCTTCAGGATATGTTTAATTTATGTCTGTATAAATTTATGTTCTGTTGTAGAATAAATTATGTTGACTATCCAGAAGATGTTTTTTTTTCAATAAAAAAGACTGCAAAAAATATAAAACACAGAAGGTACGTCAATAGCAAAAAACTTTAGGAATACAATCTCGGGAAATTTTTGTGTAATTAAAAATCATTTAAAATTTAAAGGATTGAAAATGAAACGTTTGTGAAGTAGAGGCTAAACACACATGGTTTTGAAATCTAGTTTAACAAAAATAGGTAGTAATTAGTACTATAAACCGATTTATCACCTCTCTTATCATCTAGCAGTATTAAAGACAAGTATGCACGTTTATATTTCAACATTTAGGTTACTTGGAGTAGATAAAATTACCCACATAAAGACCATCAGTTTAATTGTGCTAAATTCAAATGAACGGAATCGTAATAAAGAATAGAGAATTGCGTAGTTAACATTTGCTTAAGTTATTCCGTGTTTATACCACTGCAATCGATTACCGCCAGTTTTACGAGCCCCACTAAAATGCACACAATGTTATAGATTATTTTCCAGATACTCGAGAGCGGGTCGACCTAGGACCTAAGTCGTTTTCATATTCAAAAGTGATAAAATACTTTTAATTGCGAGGTTGAGTCGCTATTTATAGTTAAGCCAAGCTGAGTCCACATTAAATGGAATGGATTGCACGGGCACGAAAGCTCTCATTTAATTTTACGATTTTCCACCATATGCTCAGTTTGGAATTTTTCAATTCGTGTAATTTTATGATTAAAAAATCTAGTGTTGCAGAAAGGAATCTGTTAAGATTAGATAGTAATGTTACAAGCGCTAAATAAATATATTTCATGGAAATGAGTCATTATACGCCAGTTGCGACAATACATTTTTCTAAAATACTATTACTAGCAGATTTTTATCATCAAACGTCAAGAGACTTGAACAATGGAAAAAATTATTTCAATTTTAACTGATTTGTATCTAGCTTTAGTTCTTTACAAAGTACATTTAAGATACGTAGTGAAGTATAAAAATATAATAAAAAAAGAATCGCACATACTTTCATCAAATAGCAAAAAAATTAAGTGTAGTTGCGGCGTTGCAAAGTAAACCAAATTATTGGTTAGAATGAAAACGTCTACCTACAATATGAAAAATTTATTAACATATATGTTACATTCTGAATTTAGCAAACATACTGATGTGAGAGCTCTGGCGTATGTAGATCCAATTGCTTAGCATAACCAGTAAAAAATAACTTTTATCATTAGATACTTACATGATACATCTGAACATCCCTGATAGCATATCCAGTGTTATTTTAAAGCTATATTTGTGTACTGCCAGAATGAATAAAATTAAATAAAGCAACTATAGTATGCTTACTGATGGAAAAATTCAAGCGTCACTTATGACTTAGAAACTATAAGAATAGCCCTAGGTCCCAATCCTGGAACGAACGTAAGTTAGTCATATCTCAAAATTATCACACTTTTCATACCTAGAGTTTCAAGAGGTACATCATAATCTTCAGGCCCGAAAACTTTCTTTGGGTAATTTGTCATAAGACTAAAGGGTCCATCGCCATCCTTCCTATTCATCTCCACATACAGCCTCACGGCAGACAACGGTTCTTTGGCTCCAAATTTCTGTACAAGGGAGGACCCGTTAGTCAACCTAATTTGTAACATGACTTCTGAATAACCCATTTGTGGCTTCGTAGCTGGCGGTTGTGGGCTCAAACTAGGAACCTCAGGTACTTCCGCCGGTTGCCCGGAAAACTTGGCCTTTCTTGCCAATTTGTCTTGCTCAATTTGCTCTTTCACTCGCTGCCTAGCCAGTTTTTCCTCTTCTTTTTCTCTTTTTCGCTGTTCAACTAGCTTCCGCATTTCCTGCTCATCGTGTTTCTTTTTGGCTTCTAGTAACTCTTTGCCAGACTTAATGCGAGTGCGCTCTCGTTCCAGAGCTTCTTGTTTCTCCCTCGCCTCCCGTTCCAGGCGTCTTTGCCTCAGCTTGGCTTCGATTTTCGCCAGTTGCTCTTTCTTCTCTTCTTCAGTTAGGGGTTTCTTCTCTTCAGTCGATTCAGAAAAATTTTCATGGCCCGATTTTGTGGCATGGAATTCCACCTCAGCGTGAGTTTTGAATAGTTTACCACAATCTTCGCATTTAATTGACCTAACTACCTGTTCTTCTGGGGTGGCTTGGGGTTCTGGCTCTTCGGGGTTTTGATTGGATGGAGGCTCTTCGGCTGGTTGGCTTGGTTGCGGTTGAACATCTCCTAGCTCGTCTTCGTGCGATAACAACCAGTCCATTGCTGTTTGGATATCTTCCGTTCCCGTTTTCGCAACTGCTAACTCACTGTAATTGTTATTTGATTTATCATGCAATTATTTGCGGTATCAGGTTTCTTACGCTCGTTCTTTCGTAAAGCCCATTTCGATCAAAGTGTCAATAACGCCCGACATTTTGATGAGGTGGAGAGTTCGACAAAAACACACTGATTTTACACTACAATTTTTTAAAAACAACTAAACCGAAAAAGTATGCACAACACCATGAACCATGTACTTTACAGACTTCAACATGACAACACCGGTAAGCAAGTTGCGCAACATTAGAAAATTGTTTTTGCAAAACGCGGGATATTCAAATTAATACCAGCACCGCACAATGTCTGCTACAAAAATCAGTTTAGAAAATAATCAATAACTACGCAAGTTTTTTAAGTAGTTTTACACCGTTTCTCAACGACAAAAACTTTTATCAGAGTAAAAAAGAATATTTCGTTTGAGTAGTAAAACATTCGGGGTCAATCTAACAAAACAAAAAGTCCCCAAATGACATTTAAATATGCTAATGAAACGTCAATTGTTCAACTTTGAACGAAATGCATTTATTGTAAGATTACAGTTACATCATCACAAAAGCAAGAAGTCATGAAATCATCTTTCAAAATTATGCCATAACCCGGGCGACGGCGTCAAGATACATTCATCATTCATCGTAAATATTTGGACCTAACCTCAAAACTGAAATGCTGGTAGTCAGGCGTTTTCTACACATTTTTAAGTTACCGGATCGACGAAAAGAGTATTTTGCGAGAAAGCTCGTCGGGTGAGTGGTTCCTATTTTTCATAATATTGTCTTTTTACTTGGCTACTTTAGGTTTTCAAATATCCAAATGTATAAAGTGGTCGCGGACGTGAAAAATTACAGAAAATTCGTACCTTTTTGTACCAAATCGAAAATTTTAACCAAGGAGCCGAACTTACTGACAGCAAATTTGGAAGTGGGGTTCCCTCCAATTATAGAAAATTATACATCAACTGTGTCATTGTGTGAGCCAGAACTAGTCCAAGCTATTTGTAGAGATGGAAGATTATTTAATATATTAGAAACAAATTGGCGGTTTCACCCAGGGTTGAAAAGCAATCCACAAACGTGTATAGTTGATTTTCATATAAACTTTGAATTTAAATCTGCCTTGTACTCAAAAGTAGCCACATTTTTCTTTGATCAATTAGTGCAACAAATGGAAGCAGCTTTCATAAAAGAAGCCCAAAGAAGATACGGACGAGAGTCGCTGCCTGTACACCCTTTAGAACCCGTTAGAAGTTGACATAGTAGAATTAATTTTTGTTATGATTATTTTGACAATTTTATTGTGATTGTTTACCATAAATTATTTTTTTAAACTCTGTTTTAATCGTTTCGCGTTGGCACCTCTGCAAAGTGACATAACAGCTGCCATAACCTCAAACTTCCGCAACCACACAATATAATATTTACGTAAAAATGGCAGCGTTTGTGGTGCTTCAAAGGGCATTGTTTAGAAGAGTCTTGCCCCCAGTTAACCGACGATTAGTTTCTACTTCGAAAAAGTCGAACGACACCGCTGTGATTGACAGTGTTAAAACTGAAGCCAAGAAGACCGAGCACAAAAACTGGATTAGTTATGGTTTTGATGGTAAAAGCAAAGAAGGAGATAGAAGTGCAATGCATTCTGTTATGTTTGCGTCGGTCACTTTGTGTCTGATTTGTGGTGGATATTATATGATGTACCTTCCCGATTATAATTTAAAAGATTGGGCACAAAGACAAGCCTTTTTGGAAATTCGTAGGAGGGAAAGCGCAGGTTTGCCGCTGGTGGACCGTAATTTAATTGATCCAGCGAAGATGGTGCTGCCTTCTGATGAGGAGTTAGGTGATACGGAGATCATTATTTAAGATGAGTTAGTGCGAATTGTTGCTTCAGTAGCGGCAATGAACATGTAAATAATTTTATTTAAGTTTAATAAACGATTCATAAAATGAATTTTCCGTTTGTATTTTTTAAACGTTGAAGTTAAGTGGGGGTGAGGTACCATTTTTTGTTTTGTTTTTAAGGTATGCTTCTTGTGGCCACCCTTTTCTCTTAAATAATGCAAATTTCAATATATTATCGCATTTCATTTATTATTCTTATAATTTTTTAGTTTTATTGTTTACACATAGGCAACCACTTTTACACATCGTAATTATGTGTCATATACCAATTAACAAAAAACTGTCACAATACAAAAAAAAAAAAAAAAACTACGGAAAAATACAATTAGTTTTTGCATTAATACTATAACAACTGGTATTTGGATCAATCTATTTTTAGCTATGAGCGTTATAAAAATTCAAAATGAAACTTTTAGCATTTATCTAAGAGAGTAGCCTTGTTTGACAGTGCTTCAGTTGGGTGGGAAGTTTCGTTTAAATAACTTTAGACCAATTTTTTTGTTTGTATATTTAACCAAAAACGTACTTTGGTATACAAGCACTTAAATTTATACATTACAATGGCAAAACCGTTAAAGTAATAAATTACATACATAAGATTCACCAAATTACGTAAAATGCAAATCGCGAAAACCAATTTATACAAAACACACAGTTAGTAAAATATCATTATAAAATATTGCAGAAATTACAAATGATTATTATAAGTATTAAAGAGTATTACACTATGACTATAATTGGATATATAGCACACTTAAGATATACACTTATAATGGCATTTCAAACCATTATCACAACGAAAGAAAGAAAGAAAACCTTGTCATTTTACAAAAGATTTCACAAGAGTCGGTACAAGAGAAGAAAAATTATTGACTAGTTTAATATTAACGACAAATAATTTACATTGCTGTTATTATCTGTGTATATTTTACCAAGATTGATTACTACGTTAGGAACTTGAACAGTTGAAAAAAAGAGTTCATTCAAAATACCAGTTTGGTAAAATACATTCAGAAGTACTAATGAACTTAAATCTCTGTCTAAAATGCCATAATTAGGTTGGATAAACATCTACGCTACTGATATTTTTTAACACTACAATGAAGCTGAGTATTAGGTGAATAAAATTATGTTTGTAGAGCTTTGTATAGTTTGAGTTACCTAAATAATTTCAAGATTGTATCTTTTTATACATCTACTTTTATATATTTGACGAACATGCAATAAGATAGAAACACTGATATATTTTCGTAAAACTAGCGTCTAAAACAATTAGATTTGACCCTAATTTAGCTATTATTAATAACGAATGAATCTACTGACAGTCCATGTTTAATAAATTCGATGGTCATTGGGAGAACGTACGAAAAATAAGTATATTTTCGGTTTGAGAAATAGACTGTCAGCAAAGCATTCAAAGGGGGGGAAAGCTAATTTCTTACATGTAGCATTTTATAATTACAAGCTGGCGATGCACAACCTTCAACACTTGTACAGCACAATAAAAATAACGAAACCATATCGCCAACTGTACACTAAACCTATCCAAAACATGAAACAAAACAACTTAATGAAGCGAAATAATAAACAAAGCTATCTACCTACATTACAAAAAGGTCTACAGCAGAATATTTAACTAAACCGATCAAATTTTTGGCACCACTGTAGACTTCAAATCAATCGACCAAATATCATTAAATAAAAAAGTATTCACAAACCTCAAAATATCACATGACACATTGAGCCACTGTACAACGAACGAACCAAAACTCAGATCTTTTATATATCAAAACCTTGGCAAAATGTGTACGTATTCGTTTTGGCGGCATTTGCGGCCCTAATAAAGCAACTAAAATAAATATTTGGTAAAAAAAAATACATTCAGGAGAGGTATCCACACTAAATATTCACGAAAATGTCCAAAAAGCCAATTTTGTGCTATTCCTAAAAAAGTCATGGAAATCGAAAAGAAAGTTTCAGTCTCCAAGGTTGGTGTGAATATTTTGTACAAATACCGTGATGTTGGAGGGAATTTAATGATCAGATCTCTGCGTAAAATATTTGCTAACGTTAGAAATCAATTTAACTACGAGATATGATCGTTAAATCAACGGAGGTAAGCGTCTCTTGTCTTCTTTACAAATTACACTGCCACAGTATCGTAGGCTGTGAGTCCGCCGTTTGCTTGACCTGTTTCGTTTCTAAAAAAGGAAAACACAAAATGCTCTCACTTTAGTTTACGATAAACGGTTAGTCGACATAAACACATCGAGAAATAAACACACAAAATTAGTTAAAAATTAGTGTGCACACATAAACGAAAACAGTGCAAAAGAAAAACACACTTAAATAAGCTTACAGTTTGCAGTACACACTTACAGTTTCCTATTTGAGAGGAATTCATGAAATTAACAAAATCATTATCACAAGACCATTACAAATATATGATGGGTGCAATAATGGGAACGTGTCGTTTTGGAATCAACCCGATGTACTGAAGTGATTCAGCAAAAATTAAATTCAATTAAAAAATAAAATTGGAAAACGCCAAATTAAAGGTTTGAACTTTTCAAATACTTACATGCAAGATGACATTCAAAAATTTCGTTATTCAGCAAAAATGCACAAGCGAGCAGCCAATTCATTGCATCACCAGTAGCAATTAAAAATTCAAACCCTAAAGAAACAACTAAAGAAAAATTTTCCAATTATTTCGATAATTAAAAGTGTTGGCTTCGATTATATAAAACAAACTGAGATCATTGTCTTGAGTTCCAAGTTTGTTTTATTTAACTACAAAAATAAATAATCAAATTAATGAAAAATAAAAGAAAATAAATTAATATATGTATTTCACTTCAGTACAATAATATCCTTTTCTGTAAAGCATTTGTCAGAATGGTTAAAACGCTCGAGAACAAGTTATCGTATTTTTTTTAATGTACAGTGTGTACCATTTTTCAAGGGGACGCTAAATGAATATTATCGTTATTTTTCTAGTAAATTTTATTTAGTGAAAAATGCAGTTTTAGACTTCAATCGAAATTCATATTTTCATATCTTATTGCAAATAATAATGACTTAAATATATTTATTGCGTATTTTTGAAAAAATAGCAACCGCTTTATAATTTATACCTGCATCTGCGAATACACCTCGCCATTTTGTTGATAGTTATAATGGTCGCTACAACATGTATATGTACGTAGCTTCAAATTAATATCATTTCCTCCGAACTGTCATTTGTAAAGAATTCCTTTACAAACAATTTCAAATTTAAAAACTACATATCTTTACACTTACGGAATAATAGTCAAACATACATTTATTTTTGTAACGAACTTATTTAATTCGGAAAATAAAAAAAATAACGACTTATCGAAAAGTGGGACACACTGTATATGATGAATACTGAAAAGGAGTTGTGGGTAATTTGTGTGTACTGACCTTTCAATCAGTTTGCGCATTTCCTCGTGAGACATGCCATCCTTTGAACTACCTCTCATTACTGAAAACAAACCACACTTACTACACGACCACAAGACGTCACTGCCTATCTAGCTTAAACAAAATCACAATCGAAATAAAAGTATGCAGTGGCAAACCAAAGAGAGAAAACAAAATATTTTCGTCATGCAGTTAACACACAATATTAATTTCAGACATGCAACGATCAATAAAACTGATGGAACGACTTGAATGAATGAATGATCAATGAGTTGAAGAACCTTATCTAATCCTAATAGATTACGGTCAAACAACTCACTTACCCTGCTCATTTTCTGAAAACGAATTCAAAACTTTATCAATTTGGATATCATCAGTTAGAACTACGGCCAATTTTTCAATAAAGCAAGTTATTTATTTTTTGCGAGTTTTATATAAAACGAGGCCGATAAGCTACCTTAAGTTAAGTAACTAACTACAGTGAGACTCACCGCCGTAGGTTCGGCTGTTGATCAACTGGTCTCGGTCGCATTCGGCTTCAGAGATCTCGTTACTGTCTTTCGAGTCGTTGAAAGATGGATCGTGGTTACGTGGTGGTGGTGGTGGGGGCTCGGGGCTGCTGTTGGTGGGTTGCAATCTCAGAGATCCAAGAGAGCGACGGCCGATGGAGCCTCGGCTGCCATATTGGTCGTAGGGCGCACCATAGCCGCCATATTGAGAACCGTATTGCTCGTCTTCGGGGGCGCAGTTTGCTGGATCGTCGTATTCGGGGCCAGGGGAGTAAATGCTACCGTTACCTACAACAGCAGACGTTTTTCACAGTCTTGAACGAAGATATGTATTATAAAAGTCGAGAGCGAGAGGCGCTACGTGGCACCCTCTACCTATTTTTATATTATACGGAGAACTATAAGTATACAATAGCGACAGTAACATTGTTGCACATGTACTACAAACACAAAAAGCAAACCTAGAATTAAAAATACTTGCTTTCTAACCACAGTATATACTGTTTCTTCCTATATTTTTTAATATTTCTAAAAAAAAACTAAAACTATAACAGGTCGTTGAGTGTCCTCTTGTGGTCTGACCAGCTACATTCGTGAACACATCTTGTCATTTTGTTTCACAACGTAACAACGGTCCCCTATTTTGTTTGTTTGATTTTGATTTATCAAGAACTTGAGTTACGTAATGGTTTATCATAACAGGTTAAAAATATACCTTGTGAACCGACTCGGTCATATCGCCTATTTTGCCGTGGCATCGACTGTGATCCAGAGCGTGAGTGAATCTGGTGGGGGGTGTTCATGCCTGATGGTCCCATGGTCCCGGAGTGGGGGTGGGGGAAAGTCTGGAATTGCATCGCTTTGCTTGGATCCATTTCTTCGCGGAAGCCCAAAAGATGGAAGGTTGCGTAGGGGCAAATTTCGTCGTCCATGCCTATAATCAAAAATGACGTCGTAGCTTAGTATGATTTGTTCCTATAAAAAAACGTCTCTAGTAGTACGAGTCTTATGTATTGTTATCAGCTGTGATGACTGAGTAGTAAGCACATTGCACAAGCAAACATAAGCACCTCACACAAACTTACAGCTTTTGATAGTTGAGTTGAAGTCAACCAACTTATAAGTCTATAGACATTGTCAAATCTATTTACAGTTTCTAAAACACATCTGGCATGTTTTATTTTATATAAATTATAACAGAAATTTGGTACTACTTTTTTGAAATGGAATCTGTTTTTTTCAGCTGCAATCAAAATTTGAGAATTAGTTTCTGATTACTCGTACTTTTTTTCTTTATATACAGGGTCTCCGCGGTCTTATATTCTGAGAACGGATAGAAATGTTGAAATTCTGTACACGCCACTGTTTTACGCTTGAAGAGAGAAGCTTAATTTGCGCAAAGACCGTGTGAATTTTGATTGGCTACAATCTATCGCACATGCGCAGTTCGATTTAAATTTGAATTTTTAGCGCCATCAAAACAGCGTTTCAAAAATATCAGATAAGGTTGCAAAAAGTTTTAAATAGTAAGAAAATAAAACATGCCGTTTGGTTTGGGGCAAACCTGTTACGCACACGCAGACAGATGACAAATCTAAGTAGTGTTTAGTTAGAATCAGAAGCACGAAAGCTCACAAACCATTCTGTAAATGATAGACTTTTACCTCTATGAGCATGAACAGTTTCGTTCGAACCCCTTCTACTTCTAAGCTCTTCATACAAATGTCGCCTTGGATCCCAGGTAGAATGAGAACGATAATGAGCTCCTATTGCACATTTAAAAATCAAGCATTTGTACCTTGCATGGAATAAGTAATCGCTCACACGACACATAAGATGACATAGAAACAGCAAAAAATATTATTAAAATAATATACATACAGCGCGCAACATGTATGTGTTAGTGGGGAAGTTGAGCCGAATTCTACCTCGCGTATATAGAATTCGGCGCCAGCGTTCAGCAATGAAAGAATAATAAATACAAAATTAAAATAAATGGTCATGCGTAAAAAGCGATGGCTGATTCTTACTTAAGACGGTACCTCGCTTGATCCTGTCGCAGGTGTTATAGTTGGAGCCTGGTACTGGTGGTAGTTTTCGGTTTGGTGGTGCGATGTAGCCGAGTTCGTCTCTTAAGTCAGGTCGGCGCTTATCTAAAGTCGACGATGCGTTGACGGATTGGTTGTAAACGACATCGTCTGGAAAACGAGACCGTTGCAAAAAGTGCAAAATCGCAACGGAAGTATGGTCACAGATGACATATTAGAATAACCAAACTGCATAGCAAAGTTGCAGTGTGACGCATGCAAGTGGAAATAAGCGCTGCTGTGTCGCGAGTACCAAAACGTTGCTATGCTGAAAGGCGTGTTATCGTAATCTGTCATTTGTGGGTGAGTGATGATGAAAATTATGACATACAATCGCTTCGGAGCCGAGTTTGTAAAGGACCGTGAGCCCTGCGCGACAGAGCCACGCAAATCACGACAATGCCGACAACGACAACAACTACTGTAGCAGCTACTGGCACAGCAATATTCAAGTCGACCCAGTCGGGTATCCAAGGAAACAGCATCTTTACACCGGGCGATTCCCTAATTGGCGCGATTGTACCTAGAATACAGAAAAAACAACGACTGTACCTTTATGGTAATTTCCTTTGCCCCGCAATACACAAATCACAATAATGGCAACAATTATGACCAGAACTGCCGCCACTACGGGGACTACTAGGTTTAGGTTCGCCAGGATTATTTGAATTGTGTCCTCTTTGGGAATTTCACGGGCCGGGGCAATAGTACCTGAAACGAAAACAAACTTTCGTTGGCATCGCGCCTACGCTACATTCAGGTACTATTGCGTACACTTGACTGTAAGCATCAACACAACAGAACGGACAGCTATAGGCGCCAACTTCCGGGATGTCGAGGGTTCAAACATATAACTAAACGGGAGTTCTACTACCAACAAAATGGAACTAAAAGCGGGAGAACAGGACTATTGTTTTACTAATCCTTCAACAGAAAGTCTCAAATGTATTTATTAAGGCTTCTCCTTAAAGGCAAACAAGAATATTTATATTTTCGAACCCTGATATAATATAGGTAATTGTAATTCATATTTTTTTAAATATACGACTAAAATGTTCATTTTGACTCCACTGTGAATCAACAACTTCTTGGAGCATGGTTTTTAAATAAAATTTTTCAAAAATGTTTCCACACTTTCTTCCAAAAATTATCATTTCTTTCAATTAAGAAATATTTTAAATCGATTGCAGTGTATATGATAAAATAACACAATTTTCTTTGTGTTATCTAAAGTTGCATATGCTTTGTTAATAACCAGAACGCGGCGGCGAAAAATAGACCTCGGGCAACGTAAATGCGTCGCACTGTTCGAGTGATCAGTATTAAAGTGGCCGTCCAGAATGTAATACGTTACGATATCTACTAGTGGCTTTGTTTAAATTTACACACGTAATAATTACGGACAGTGGAAGCAAATACTTTACGAGAAAATATTTTTTTCTGTTTGCATTTCTAAAGCCAGTTCATGGAACACTCAGAAACCACAACCGTTTATATGTAGAAAACTAAATTAGGGAAAATAGATAAAAGGTAATCGGTAAGAATTAATAGACAGTTTTATCAAAAACTAAAAAGAATCCTCTAGTGGGCCATGAAATTGATTTTTAAAATAATGATTTTGACATAACAGTTAAATATTTAATTATTTGATCGGAACTGTCAAAATACAGAGGTCCTGTAGAATTATACCATATGATCGAAACAACAATTCCTCCAGTAGGCCGTGCAATTTATTTTTAAAATAATGTTGTTGGTATTGCAGCTATTTGACCCCTTATTTGACTGTAACTGTCAAACTGAACAAGAAACGGCGTTGGTGTTGCCAACATAATTATTTTAAAAATAAATTGCACGGCCTACTAGAGGATTTTTTTGGTATATCTGGTTCCAAGTTAACTTTTTGTGAAAGTGCATTTCAATTTGTAATAATTTAATTGTTATTTCGCTGTTTTGTCAAACTTTTGCATGTTATAAACGGCAGAACTAAGCAAAATAACAAACAAAAACGAAAAATACACGATTTAGCTGACCCCATTGCATCACTGTCTTTTTAAAAACAGTATCAATCGCAAATAAGTGAACCCAAGGACACCGATATTTTTTATTTTGGCCAAACCACCTTTGAGGTCAGTCACTGATTTATCTTGACCCTGTATGATAAGTTGCTATAAATATAAATGCAAATTTTTTATAACTGTAATGTGCACTACAATGTACAAAAATGAAGTTTTTTAACTTGAATTCTTGGGTTCATTTAACACGAATAAGTTGTAAATAAGTACGAAACTTTTTGAAATTATCTCAGACCCTTATTACCATTGTGCTTAACACTGAATGGTACATCTGCTTGTCCGGTAGTTTCGAAGTGACATGTCCTAGTAACACTGGCTTCACATTTTGGAACGAAAAATTTGAGAGGTGTAAGGAGGAGTCTTAAGTCATATTGTCCCTAATTTCCCCAAGATACTGATATAACATCAACAATATAAAAACAGTTTCTATTTTTCTAATCTCACTTGGGGGCGTTTATGAATTTACATAGTGTAAAATCGTAAATTTTCAATTACGTTGCGCACGCAACTTATTTAATATTATTTCTATCTTCAATATCACGAAATGTTACGTTTTCACTTCTACTTAAAATACACAGACGGGGAAGTTAATCGATATTTAAATTAACAATTTAGTAGACAACCATCCATCAGATACCGCAGGTAGTTAGCTCTCGTTTGAAAAAGGAAACTGCATTAATAGTATGTTTGTTGTAGTAATATTAATAGTATAGTAAAGACATCATCAGGATCCGGTTGACTTCAAAGGAGTCGGCGCCCATGCCAAGATACACCAAAATTACCTCCGGTGACGGTGAGAGTAGCAAATTCGTATTCGGCAACGTTAAATCCGGCATTATTGTGAGCAGTGACACGTAAATGATACCAAACAGCAGGGTCCAAGTCCAAAAGAACGAAATTCTGGCCTAGTTTTACATTATTTGAGACCTGGATCCATTCTGAGCTTGTCCTGAAAAGCAAAACATAAATCAATAAATTACTAAACACTGTCGCAAAAATCGATCAATTACTCTCGTGTGTTCAAAATTCACAAAGCGAATTACGTAAGTCAAATTGTAAGACAATACATCGAAATAAAATACTCTAAGTTACTTAGTAGCTTGGTTCAAAACGTCAGTCACTTTTGTCAGAAAACCCAACTCACTTCTTTTTGTGTTCGATTACGAAGTACAGCATAGGGCAACCACCATCTAACCATGCGCTAAGGTGAAGAGTGATACTATTGGAAGATACTTCAATGAATTTTTCAGCACTTGGAATGATTGGTTTCTCTCCACGGGTTCGAGGGTTCAGAGTGTCGGAAGGATCGCCGGTTCCAATGCTACGAACCAATCAAATTACACCGTACTTTAAAAAAGAGTAGTACCAACCTGTTGTACGCTTTTACATATACTTGATACCTAGTACCGCAAAGAAGTTTCTCCAGAGTGTATTTTTCTACAGTTGGTCCCACTTGTACAGTCTCCCAGTCACCAAATTCTGGTTTGTAGTGAATCGTGTAACCGTGGATTGGTTCAACATCAGATTCGTGAGGTTTCATTTTAAGAGTCAACGAGTTTGTGGTTGTGGAAGTCAGTTGAACCTACAATCGATTACGTCAATAAGTCGGAACAAAACACCACGACTTAAGTACTTGTGGCGCATGTGGGGGAGCATTCACGATCAATTGATGCGTTACGGAATCTTGTCCATAGTCGTTTTCAACGTGGCATGAGTATTCTCCAGCGTTATTTCTGCTGACGTCACGAATAAACAGAGAACCGTCTGGTTGTTGTCTAATTTTGTCGTTGGTGGTGAATGGAACTCCCTTGATTTTCCAGGTGATAATTGGTTGTGGCATACCGACAGCAAGGCATGGTAAAGTAACATCTTCCTTGTAAGTAGTGACAAAGGTATCGTCGAACGAGGCAATTTTGGCTGGAACTAAATCAAACCCAAAAAATCTACACTACCGAAATTTGTAGAAAAAGTACCGCTTGTGTTTGGAGATACTGTAACCTTCTTAGAGGGTTGACCTTCACCGATTGTAGTAGCGGCTGTGACCCAGAATTCGTATTTCAAGCTGCTGTCGAGATTTTTCGCTTGGAAGCTAAGGTTCTGGTTCCTCAAGTTGGGTGTGATTTTCTGCGAGCTTGTTTTTTCTTCGGTTGTGGTACCTTCGGCGGCTGCTGGTTTGTAGTAGACGGTGTAGTACTCAACGATACCGTTTGGTTCGACTGGGGGTTTCCAGCTAACGAGGATTGCGTCTGCTGACATGACTAAAGCTTTGACGGAAACTGGAGCCTCGGGTACTAAAAGCAACGCTTATAACAAGAACAACGAATTTAGTAAAGCAGTACCATCTTGTTCCGTTTGACAATGAATGGGAGTTGTGCGAACACCATCACCTCCGGAAGTGTAAGCCAAAACTTCCATACTGTAATTGGTGTATTTTTTAAGTCCGTGAAGAATAGTTTCGCTAGCGGCAGTAATCTTTGTGTCTTTGGTGTTTTCATCTAAAAAATAACCCTAGAATTTGTCGTTCCAAAAGTGGTACCACCTTACCAAACCAAGTGTCTGAAGGTCCGTAAATGACTTTGTATCCTTTAATAACACCATTGGCGGCAGTGAGTGGTGGAGAAACCCATGATACACGAATAGTTTGAGCGGTAAGAGTGGTGCAAGTAGCCTTATCTGGAGGTTGTTCTGGTACTCCTTCAGCAGTGTAAGCTTTGATATCATCAGACAATGGTCCAGCACCGACTTTATTAAAAGCTTGTACGACAACAGAGTACTGAGTGTAAGTCTTCAGATTAGAAATTTTCAAATGGTGTTCTTTTCCTTCCTCGCGACTAAATTCAACAGTTTCAAAAAGATACGGTTTTTCGGAGTTGGCCAATCTGTAACCGACGTAGTAACCCAAAATATCTCCGTTCCATTCCTCTCTGACGGGTGGTTTCCAGTAAACAACCAAAGAGTGTTGATCATCGGTTTCCACACGAATGCTAGTTGGGGGACCTCCGGGTACTTCTTCAGCCGTGATGATAGTAACAGTGTCGGATGGCTCGCTTGAACCAATTTCGTTTTCAGCTACAATTCTAATGTGGTAGGTGGTTGCTGGTTTCAGTGTAAAAACTCCTGCTTCGGTCTGGTCACCAGGTACAAGGACGGGTTGTGTGTTACCTTCCCAGCTAACTTTGCTTTGTTTGTACTGGATCATGTATCGGGTGATTGGTGAATTTCCGTCGTATGGTGCGACCCAAGACAATTGCACAGATCGGCCAGACTTATCCAAAACCTTTAAACCGTAAGGAACTTCAGGTACTTCTTGTACGATCATGTTGATACTAGTGTCGTCGCTGCCGAAAGCGTTAGTAGCAACGCAAGTAAACAAAGCAGAGTCAGAGCGTTCAGTGCGTTTGATACTGAGTCCAGAAAGTACACCGTTGGCCAAAATTTCTTCGCGAATTGTGTATCGGTTGTCGCCTTTTGGTTCCAAGCGTTTGTTGTTGATGTTCCACAAAATTCCAATAGGTTTCTCGCCTTTAGCTTCACACTGTAATACAGCAGGATCGCCTCTACGTGAAGTCTGATTGCGCAATTTAATATCGAATTGAGGAGGAGCTAAAACCCAATTTGTACAGTCTAGTTTGTTTATTATATAAGAGCAAGAGTACCTTGAACGCTGATTTGGATGACAGCTGATAAACCAGAACCGATTCCGTTAACAGCCTCGCATAAGTAATAGCCTTCGTTTGTCTTTTGAATGTTATTGATAGTAAGAGTGCCATCTTCGACTTTAATATCGGGATTGTTAGGTTTAAAGTCTTTGTAATCGCCAGGTGAAACCCCTGATAATTATAAGCGTTAGAAAGTGTTTAATAAAATAATACGAGAACTTTACCAGTTGCCCTTTTCCATGTCACTACAGGCTTGGGGAAACCATCGGCTTTACATTCAACTGCGGCATCAGAGCCTTGAGCAAATGCTTTGTCAGTGGGTTCTAGTATCCACCTTGGTGGCACTAAAAATAATCTTCGGTTAGATATGCATGTCTTTCAACCCTCGTGTAATCATGCACCTAATAATTTTGATCTTCGAAAGTTCTTGGGCATGCATTAATAATTTTGATTTCCAAAAAAACTACACTGGATAAAAAGTACTGATTTGCAAAATTCTGTAATCAATTGATTTAGTTTTACTGGATGAATCAATACTTCTTATCACACCCTGGAAGAACTTCAATAATTTAAACAAGTGATAATTTTGAAGTTCGACAGAATAATTATCGAAGTTACTCCAGTTGTACAGTTAGTAAAATAACGAAAAAGTGAAAGGACAACTTAAAAAAAGCATGCAAAGATTGAACTCAAAGAAGAAGAAGAAAAAGTGCACAGGAAGTGGAAAACGGGATCTTCCCTAGATCTCAGCTGAAGGAAGCGTGAAGGAGTTGAAGGAGAAAGGGTGCAGCTGAGATCGCCTCCTCTTGAGATGGTGCAACAAGTATTAGCCACATGGAAGCTTTGAATAGAAGCCATTTTCCATCGTTACACAAAGAATAGACAACGTAACAAAAATTTAAGTGTACCATAAACATCTAGAGATGCCGTATAATGGCTAGATCCGGCACGATTCTGAGCAGTGCATGTGTAATTTCCACTCTGAACTTCCGATACAGAATCTATAAGAAGCGAACTCGCCTTTTTGCCGATTTTTGTTGTGATAACCCCACTATCCAACTCTACCACACCTCCATGAAAACTCCACGTAATGTTCAAAGGAAGATCGCCCTCTGACACCAAACAAGTAACTTGAGCTGTCTGTCCTGAATGTACAGGCGAATCACCGAAACTAAACGGGACTATGTGAGGTAAAACTGAAAAGTGAGAAAGCACCGACTTAGGAAAAAGAAAACACTCAACAGAAAAAGTACTAAATGTTAACCGTTAACCAGTAGTTGTGTTGTATACTCCGTTTGTCCGGCTTTGTTTTTGCCACGACAAGTGTAGTTCCCTGCGCTGGAGTACGAAACTGACTCGATTGTCAACATTGAGCTTCTTTTTCCAACTATGGCTACCGATATTTCGGGGTAGTCGAAGCTATTCCCGTTCAAGCTCCATTCTATGGTTATCGGTAGGTCTCCTTCGGCGACCAAGCAGTTAATTTGTGCATACTGACCGGAATGAAGAGGATTTTCTTCGAAATAAAAAGGGATGATGCGGGGTGCAACTAACAAAAAGAAAAAAACTTAAAAGTTACCCTTGACAATTAACACAGAAGAGTGGCTAGCAACTCCCGCTCGATTTTCGGCAAAACAAGAATAATTCCCTGCGTGGTGTTCATCCACCGATTCAATACTAATAACAGATGTCTTTTTCCCAAAAGAAGCAATAGTCACCCCTTGAACGTCTGTTAGAGCTTTTCCATTCAAAGTCCAGGAGAATTTCACTGGCATATCACCCGTAGACAAACTACACTGGACAGTTGTAGATTCGCCCATGTAGGATGGTTCGTCACCAAAAGTGAAAGGTAGAAGCTTCGGCAAGACTGGGAAAAGGAAAAAGGTTTAAGTACCGTTCACGTGAAGATAGGCGGAGTGCTCGACCAGTCCGGCCGGATTTCTAGCAGAACAAACATATTTTCCAGAATGTTCCGCATGGACAGAGTCAATGTTCAACTGGACGATGCGTTTGCTGGTTCTTATCGTGGTGATACCATCAATTTGGTCCACGGGTTTGGTGTTCAAAGTCCAGCTAATGTTAATGGGGAAGTCGCCTTTGTTCACAATGCAAAAAACTGAGACTGTATCACCTGAATTGATAGGCTCGTCGCCGAAATCGAAATGAGTGATCTGGGGAGGAACTGGAAGGAAAAGAAACTAAGTGAAAAAACCAAACAAACAAAACAAAAGTTAAATTATAATCAACCATTCACTTGCAGTTCCGTCACGAATTTGGTACTTCCAGCTCGGTTTTTTGCGATACAGGTATAGTTTCCGGCGTGGACATACGAAACCGACTCTATTGCTAAAATAGAACTGCGTTTTCCCATTTTCGATGTAGAAATTTCAGGAAAATGTCCTAATTTCTTGCCGTTTAACATCCAATCAATAGTGATGGGTAAGTCGCCTTCGGATGCTAAACAACCCACTTGAACGTACTGACCAGAATGAACGGGATTATCTTCGAAGTAAAAAGGAGTGATTCTTGGCATAACTGAAGGAAAAAGAACAGGGTTTAGTAAAGTAAGTACCCTTGATAATAAGTTCGGTGGTGTAGGCCGAAATTCCCGCTTTATTCGCAGCTAAACAAGTAACATTGCCTGCATGTACTTCTGATAACGAATCGATGCTCAACACTGACGTCTTCTTTCCGAAACTACCAATAGCAATCCCTTCAATATCTTTAACAGGTTTTCCATTCAACATCCAAGAGAACGTAACAGGAAGATCACCAGAGGACAAACTACACTGGACCGTTGCTGAATCTTTTATAAACGCTGGTTCGTCTCCAAAAGTGAACGGTTGAATTTTTGGCAAAACTAGGAAAAGTACGAGAATAATGGATATAAATTGGATTATGCATAAAGTAGAGATAAATTAAGCGGGTGGTACCCTTTACAATTAATTTTGCTGTGTATGCAGCCACTCCGGCACGATTGGACGCTAAACAAGTGTAATTCCCTGCGTTATGCTCATCGACTGAGTCTATACTCAACACCGACGTTTTTTTCCCAAAGGAAGAAACTCCAATCCCTAAGGATTCATCAGCAGGTTTCCCATTCAGAAGCCATGAGAACGTCACAGGCATGTTTCCTTTACTAACGTAACACGAAACTTGAACACTATCTCCTCTATTTGCTTCTCCGTCAAAGTTAAAGGGGGTGATGTGGGGTAGAACTAAGGAGAAAATATAGCTTTAAGTACCATTGACATGTAGTACCGCTGAGTGATGCGTAGACCCAGCTGTGTTTTTGGCTGTGCAAGTGTACTCTCCGGTATGTTCCGCATGCACTGAATCTATACTCAGTTGGCTAATTCGTTTATTAGTACGCATTACAGAAATCCCTTGGGAAGTGTCAATGGGACGACCATTCAAAGTCCATGTTATCTTAATAGGAAAATCTCCTTTGTGTACGGTACAAAAAAGCGACGACATATCTTCAGAATTAACGGGGTTCTCGGTAAAATCAAAAGGAGTGATTTGAGGAGGTACTACAACAAAGAAAAACGTACTAATTTGGTACAAGTACCGTTGACGTGTAGAACAGCAGAGTAAGTTGTGGTACCGGCAGAATTCTTCGCGTAACATACAAATTCTCCTGCATGTTCGGCTTGAACCGAATCTATGCTCAACTGACTGATGCGTTTGTTGGTACGCATGACAGAAATCCCGTGGATTGACTCCACAGAACGATTATTCAAAGTCCATGATATTTCAATAGGAAAGTCCCCTTTGTTAACGGTGCATGTGAGAGAAGACATGTCCTCTGAATTGACAGGGTCATCGGTGAAATCGAATGGGATAATTTGGGGAGGTACTACAACAAAAATAGTGTCCTGTAAGTACCGTTTACGTGTAAAATCGCAGAATAAGTCACTGTTCCGGCGGGATTTTTCGCTGAACATGTATATTCGCCTGAGTGGTCGGCTTGGACTGAATCTATGCTAAGTTGACTGATGCGTTTGTTAGTACGCAAGACATTCACTCCGTGGATAGTACTAGCGGAGGCGTTGTTTAGGAACCATTTAATTTCTACTGGAGAATCACCTTTATTCACGGTGCACATGACAGAAACCAAGTCTCCAGAATTTACGGGTTCATCACCAAAATCAAAATGGACGATTTGGGGTGGTACTATAAAAAGTAAGGAACTAGCGAAACAAAAATACGTACAGTAAGAAGTAAAATTCACTTAATGTACCATTAATAAAAAGTTCAGCGTTGTGGGTGACTGAGCCTGCCCTATTTGACGCTTTGCAAGTGTACACACCAGCAAGTCCAGGTTGTACCGAGTTTATGGTTAACAAATTGGTACGACGACCGATAAGTGTCGTAGTAATTCCAGAATCCAACTCAATGTTTTTATTATTCAAGGACCAAGTTATATTAAGAGGTGCGTCGCCTTTGCTCACGTAGCAATTAAGTTGTGTACTATCCCCAGTGTTGGCCTCACCCTCAAAATCAAATGGTAGGATATGGGGAAGAACTGTGGACCATAATGACAAATTAAAGGGTGCAAAGAACTAATCAACCAACTTAAAAGTGAAGGTGTACCATTAATAAATAGAGTGGCGCTGTGGGCTGCTTGTCCCCCTTTATTTGAAGCTGTGCATGTATACGTTCCTGAATGTTCCCTATCAACTGAATTAATATTCAACAGGTTTGTACGGGTTCCTATTGGAAGAGTCGTAATTCCAGAAGATGGACCAATGGGTTTGCCGTTTAAAGTCCATGTGATATTTAAAGGCGTGTCTCCTTTGCTCACATGACAGTTCAATTGGACGTTATCGCCCGTGTTTAATTCATTTTCGAACTCGAAGGGGGTAATGTGAGGTAGTACTAGTAACAAAAAAGTGGGTTTTAAGGACAAGTGCGAGCAACTAAACTACACTAGATAGAACTAGTACCATGGATATACAAATATGCAGAATATGTGGCAAACCCGGCTAAATTTTCTGCCCGACATGTATATTCTCCTGTGTACTCCGCATTAACGCTATCTATACTCAAAGTGTTGAGTTTCTTGTTGACTTTGTTGATGGAAATGGTAGGATCGTTTATGACACGACCGTTGAATAACCACGTGATGTTTAAAGGAAAATCGCCTTTAAGGATGGAACAAGCCACTGACACCGAATCACCAGGATAAATTTGTTCGTCACCAAATTCAAAGGGTAAAATGGCAGGTGGTACTGCAAGGAATACAACATTTTAACACTACGTTAAAACTATAAGAAATAATAAAGTGCAAATACAAAGTACCATTCACATTTAGCTGTGCCGAATAAGTAGTAGAACCAGC